TTTATTTCTGGCTCCTGCTTCCTTGCGCTTGCTCTGCTCCTGCTCTGCTCCTGCTCCTTGCTCCTTGCTCCCTGTCCTGCTCTTGCTCCTGTTCCTGCTCTTGCTCCGGTTGCTTCCTGTCTCCGTCCTGTCGCTCTTGCTCCTGTTCCTGCTCTCTTGCTCCTGTTCCTGCGTCTTGTCATTTCTCTGTCCCTGTCCTGCCTGCTCTCTGCTGCTCTTCCGTGTCCTGCTCCTGCTTCCTGCCTGTCCTGCTTCTGCTCTGTCCTGTCTCTGCTCCTTGGCTCCTGCTCCTGCCCTCGGTGTCCTGCTTCTTGCTCCCTGTTCCTGCCTTGCTCCTGTTCCTCTCTGTGCTCCTGGTTCCTGCTCTTGCTCCTGCTCCTGCCTGCTCGCCGTTCTGCCCTTGCTCCTGCGTCTTGCTCCTGCTCATTGATCTTTCCGCCTTTCCTGGCTCGCTCTGCCTCCTGCTGCCTGCTCCTGCTTGCTCCTGTTCCTTGCTCTTGCTCCTTCCTGCTCTTGCTCCTGTTTCCTGCTCTTGCCTCCTGTTCCTGCTCTTAGCTCCTGTTCCTGCTGGTCGTGCTCATTGCTCCTGTTCCTGCTCGTTGACTCCTGTTTCCTGCGTCTTGCTCCTGTTCCTGCTCTTGACTCCTGTTCCTCCTGCTCCTGTTCCTGCTCTTCTCTGTTCCTGCTTCTTGCTCCTGTTCCTGCTTGTCTTTTGCCTGCCTCTGTTCCTTGCTCTTGCTCCTGTTCCTGCTCTTTTGGCTCCTGTTCCTATGCCTCTTGGCTCCTGTTCTCCTTGCATCCGTTCTCTTGCTCCGTGTTCCTGCTTTGCTCCTTGTTCCTGCTCTTGTCCTGTTCTGCTGCTCTACTGTATCCTGCTCCTCTTGCTCCTTTGCTCTTTGCTTTTCCTGCTCTTGCTCCTGTTCCTGCTCTTCTCCTGTCTGACCTGGCTTCCTGCTCCTCTGCTCCTGCTCTTGACTGCCCCTGCTCTCTGCTCCTTGCTCCTGTTCCTGCTCTTGCTCCTGTTTTCCTTGCTCTTGCTGCCATGCCTCGCTGTGCATCTGCTTTCCTGCCTCTTGCTCCTGTTCCTGCGTCTTGCTCCGTTGCCTGCTCTTGCTCCTGTTATCTTTTTCTTTTTTTTTTTGCTCTCTCCTGCCTGTCCTGTCTCTGCTCCTGTGCTCCTGCTCTATGCTCCTGTTCTCTGCTCTTTGCTCATCCTGCTCTTGCTCTGTTCTCTTGCTCTGGTTGCTTCTCCGTGTTTCCTGCCTTGCTCCTGTTCCTAGTTGCCCTTTCCTGCTTGGCCTGTTCCTGCCCTGTGCTCCTGTTCCTGCTTCTTGCTTCCTGCTCTTGATCCTGTTCCTGCTCTCTTGCTTCTGGTCCTGCCATCTTGATCCTATTCGCATCGTGCTCTCGATCCTGTTCCTGCTCTTGCTCCTGCTCTTGCTCTTTGATTCTGTTCCTGCTCCTGACTGCCTGCTCTTGATTCTGTCCTGCTCCTGCTCTTGATCCTCTCTTGCTCCATGTTCCTGTTCTTGCCTTGGCTCTGCAGCTCTTGTCTGCAGCTGCCGCCACCCGGCCGCCCAGGCGGGCGTCCGCGGCGCGGCCCGTAAACGCGTGAATGAGAGGGGCCGGCTGTGGGAAGCGGGGGCGGGGCGGGCGGGGAGACGGTGCCGCAAAAAGTGTGTGCGCCGTCGGCGCGGCAGGCCTTGGAGATGCTGATTCAGCAGCCAAGAACAAAGGCTCGCAGCAACCCGAGGTGGCGGGCGGGGAGCGAAAAAACGGGCCCTTCCTCGGTGTTGGCGCGCTTTCAACGCCGAGTCGCGGCGGACGGCGGGGGGGGGGGGAGGGGGCGGTGGGTTTGCGTGAGCGATGGCGAGGCGGTGGCACAAGCGCGTGGTTCTCAGGTGGCGGGTGACGAGGGCGACGGGGTGGCGGGATAGTTATTGTCGCCCTCCCGGTGTCTACATTTTTGAGTGTCGATGAATTTTTCAGCGTCAGCAATTTAAGTTCATATTCTCCTCAAATAAAAGCTGAGTTGATGTCGAATAAGTCCATAGCTGCACTTTTCTTGACATTTG